TTTGGGAACAGGGCAGGTGTGTGGTCTTTCTAGTCTTATGTGACTGCCCTCTGGGTATATCCAAGTCTTATTTGCATGTTTCTCATCAGTGACAATGCGCTGGTGTGTGCTCTTCTCTTGACTGTATTTTGAAAACACTAAACTAACCATACGACATCTGACTTCTGCAATATAGGCCTGGGTGGGTGGGGAAACACTGTAGAAATCTGTAACAAGATGTGGGAGGGGAAATAGCTGAACAACACACCTGTGCATACAGTTGTGGAAGGGATCCTTTGTAATGAGTCTTTCTCTGTCCTACCAGACACTCCCAAATAATCACACGGAGATATATTATCAATTACGAAAGCCTGGCCCATTGCTTAGGCTAGTTCCTAACTAGTTCTTATAACTTAAATTAACCCATTTCTGCTAACTTAAGTGCTGCCATGTGGCTCATGGATTGTTACCTCTTTTCCTACACATCTTGCTTCCTCTCCGTTTGGCTAGTGACCCTGCATCTCTGTCCTTCTTCTTCTTCTTCTTCTTCTTCTTCTTCTTCTTCTTCTTCTGTACCTGTAAATCCTGCCTAGCTATTGCAGTATCCTCTGTACCTGTAAATCCTGCCTAGCTATTGGCTGTTTAGCTTTTTAGTAAACCAATAGCAATGACACATCTTCACTGTGGAAAAAAAGATAATTGCACAACGATCCTTTGTTATTTAGTTTATAATGTAAGCTTTTTAGAGAAGCATAGTATCAATACAGAGAAGTACGCAGCTTAGTGACTGCCCCCTAAATTGCCTGTGTATTCAGCATCTAATCAGGAAATGGAATTTTATTAGAATCCCAGAAATAACGTCAGGATTCCTCTAAAAGGGAGAGAAATTGATCAATTCAGTATTTAGTTGTTTTTTTTTATTTGGAACATTGAGCATGGAGACATGGATGGATGGCTGAACATGTCAGGGAAGTCAGGGGTCAAGCTTAGTTAGACCTTAAGAATCTTGTAATACCACGTCATGAAGAGGCCATCCCTCCCCATTGCTCTGTCATCATGGAATCAAACCTTCGACAAATGAGCTTTGGGTGACATAGGAGATTTAGACCATATCAAATTAGATCAGAAAGCTTTCACCTCAGGCACTCTGTGGTTTGTGTGTGTGTGGTGTGTGTGTGGTGTGTGTGGTGTGTTTGTGTGTGGTATGTGGTGTGTTTGTGTGTGGTGTGTTTGTGTATGTGTGTGGTGTGTTTGCGTGGTGTGTGTGTGGTATATTTGTGTGTAGTGTGTGTGTGGTGTATTTGTGTGTGTAGTGTATGTGTGTGTGTGTGTGGTGTGTGTGTGGTATATGTGTGTGTAGTGTGTGTGTGGTGTATTTGTGTGTGTAGTGTATGTGTGTGTGTGTGTGGTGTGTGTGTGGTATATGTGTGTGTAGTGTGTGTGTGGTGTATTTGTGTGTGTAGTGTATGTGTGTGTGTGTGTGGTGTGTGTGTGGTGTGTGTGTGAGTGTGGTGTGTGTTGTGTGTGTGTGGTGTGTGTGTGGTGTTTGTGTGGTGTGTGTGTGAGTGTGGTGTGTGATGTGTGTGTGGTGTGTGTGTGTGTGGTATATTTGTGTGTAGTGTGTGTGTGGTGTATTTGTGGTGTGTTTGTGTGTGTGTTGTGTTTGTGTGTGTGGTGTGTGGTGTGTGTGGTGTGTTTCTGTGTGCTGTGTGTGTGTGGTGTATGTGTGGTGTGTGTTTGTGTGTGTGATGTGTGGTGTGTGTGTAGTGTGTTTGTGTGTGTGGTTTGTGTGTGGGTGGGGTTTATTTGTGTGTT